CTCTGCAGCGCGGTGTGGCCCCCGGGGGTGTGGGAAGTTAGGCCGACAAGGGACGAGGAGCCTGGTCCCGCCCAAACCCAGCTTGGCGAGGTGGACGGAGACACAGGAGGTGAGGTGTGCGTGCCCCGAGAGGCCTGCTGAGGCCGGGCCGGGGTCCCGCGTCTCTGCCAGCGGTGCCCACAGTCTCGCAGCCGAGCGGTTGAAACTCGAAATGGCCACAAACCGTGGCGGGTAGAGGGGCCACATTCGGAAAATTCACCTCCGAGCTCCTGTCTTCTAGCCTGAGGAGTGGGGTCAAGTGTCCCCGCTGGGTCCTTGTCCAGCAGCCAAAGTAAGAGGGTTGCTAGTAGGGTCGCACCCCAATCACAGGCATGACGGGCATCGGCGGACAGCCTGCCTGGGCACCGGGGCCTTCCAGAGCGCTCAGCTCTCCACGGTGCAGCTCCGGGACCTGACTGACCGGCTGCTCTGCAGACAGGTCTTTGTTCCCTAGATCGGAGCCCTTCGCAGCCCACAGGCCTGGCAGGACAGAGCCGGTCCATGTCCAGCCCGGTCTTGCTGAGTGTCTCGCTCTGCCCCAGGCCCTGCGGTCTGTCCCCGAGCCTCCCGACCGGTTTCTCCTGCCCCTCGCCTCACTTGTCCGTTTTCTGTCCGTCTTCAGGCTGACCTCCCAGGAGGTCAGGGCTCGCTCTCGGCTGGTTCCCGCGTGTGCACAGCTCAGTCCAGGCGGTCAGTCTGGGTTGTGGAGGCCACCAGCCTGAGACCACGTGTCTCCACAGCCGATGCGACTGAGATTTCCTGACATCTTTGCTGGTCCCCCAGACATTGATTAGCATCTGTGATTATTGACTAGCCAGGCTGTGCTCACGGGCTGGCAGGTGACCCCGAGGTGGGCGAGGACACGCCCGGGGCCACGCGGGTGCCTGGGTGAGGCCGGCAGAGGACGGGCTGCCGCAGAGGCGGCCTTGCGGGGGGCACGGTGGACCAGGATGCTTGGACCCAGGTTGAACACAGCCAGGTGTGAGGGGCGTGGAATTGGGGAGCAGGGTACTCGGGATGGATGGGGCAGGAAGTGGCCCCTCTGGTGTGGGAACCCCAGAGGAGCCGGGGGGGTCGAAGCATTAACCACAAGTGTTGAGTGGCCAGGCAGCGAGGTCAAGGACATCAAGGACATCGTGGGCCTGACGAGGACACGGGCCCTCCTCTCAAAGCCACTGAAGGTTCAAGCCGTCTGAGGACGTGGTCAGAATCATTTTTTGAAAGATCACAGCTGGAGAAGGGATGGCATGGGCCTGTTTCCATGGAAACTCCCCAGGGACTCATTCAGTCTTGTCCCTGAGGGGACTCTCACCCTTCACCGTGGAGCTCTCTTGTGAAGGCTCACTGCACAGTGCTGGGGACACATAGCAGGGACCTCGGTGCCCCCGGACCTCCAGGGGAAAGGGCTCTGGGATGTGACTGCCTAGGTGTGCGCGTGGGCGTGTGCACGTGGGTGTGCCTGTGTGTGCATGTGGGTGTGTGCACATGCGTGGGTGTGCCTGTGTGTGCATGTGGGTGTGCGCACATGCGTGGGTGTGCCTGTGTGTGCATGTGGGTGTGTGCACATGCGTGGGTGTGCCTGTGTGTGCATGTGGGTGTGCGCACATGCGTGGGTGTGCCTGTGTGTGCATGTGGGTGTGCGCACATGCGTGGGTGTGCCTGTGTGTGCATGTGGGTGTGTGCACATGCGTGGGTGTGCCTGTGTGTGCATGTGGGTGTGTGCACATGTGTGGGTGTGCATGTGGGCGTGTGCACGTGGGTGTGCCTGTGTGTGCCTGTGGGTGTGCGCACATGCGTGGGTGTGCATGTGGGCGTGTGCACGTGGGTGTGCCTGTGTGTGCATGTGGGTGTGCGCACATGTGTGGGTGTGCACACATGCGTGGGTGTGCCTGTGTGTGCATGTGGGTGTGCGCACATGCGTGGGTGTGCCTGTGTGTGCATGTGGGCGTGTGCACATGTGTGTGCCTGTGTGTGTGTGTGGGTGTGCGCACATGTGTGGGTGTGCCTGTGTGTGCGTGCACATGCGTGGGTGTGCCTGTGGGTGTGTGCCTGTGGGTGTGTGCACATGTGTGGGTGTGTGCACATGCATGGGTGTGTGCATGTGGGTGTGCACATGTTCATGTGCGTGCACACATGTGTGCACGCAGAGGGAGAGGGGCGATGCCTCTGCATTTCTTTGTCTTCCCAGCCGGCCCAGCAGTGCCGGGGGACTGAGCCCAGAGCACATCCTCCCCAGCCCTGCCGAGGTCTGTGATGCTGGCATCTGGCCGCGCAGACCGAGCTCCTCGCGGTGCTGACATCAGCCGCTTTGTGGCACCTCAGCGCATTTCTGGGCTGCAGATGAGTTTCTCAGTGCCAGGCTCGCTCGGGCTGTCACGTCCAGTGATGAATTCTGTGCATCAGCGGGTGCTGCCCAGGGGAGCTCCGAGGAGAGAGCGGAGGATGGGCCGGGCCTCCGCCCAGCACCGCTGCTCTGGGCTCGAGCCGGGCAGGTGGCCAGGAAGAGGACGCCGGGCTCGGTGCACCTCTGCTCGGTGCTTGGCCAGGAGGAACCGTACATGTCCCGTCAGCCAGGGCTCCGTCCTAGGCTTCCTGCCCCTCCTCCCGCAGGCCGGTGCTTGTCAGTGTGGTGGGCTCTGCCTGTCGGTCTGCAGTCTTGGGCCCAGTTCCTGGGGTGGGTTAGAGTCAGTAGTGAGCTACGGTGCTGACACCATTGGTTCCCAGTTACCCTGAATCTGTGTTTGGAAAGCCCAGGTGTTCGGATGCGAGATTGTGTCCCAACCTTGGGTCCGGTCACCATCCTGCCCCCGAGGGCCACGCTGAGCCACGCTGGAGCTAAATGTCGGGCTTCCCAGCCCAGTGTCGGGTCTCCCCTCGGGGATGTTTTACGGGTCCTGCGGGCACATTTGGTTTCAGACTCCCCTGCCCACCTGGGCCCTCGGTGTGGTTCCGACGGCAGCACCTTGACAGGGACGGTGTCCTTTGTAAAGGGAGTTTGCCTCAGAGCGTGGACAGGGATGTTGGGAGCAAAAGGAAAATCAGACGCTGATTAAGGGGACAACTCGAAGCTGAGTTCCCCGCTGAACGTCACCACAAGGCAGGAGGCAGCGGGAGAGTCGCTCCCCTGGGAGGTGGCAGCACGCGGGTCGCTGTTCCCATGAAGTTGCTGCCCTAGGGGCGCCCGGGCGGTTCGCGGGGGCTGCAGGTGGAGGGGTGCACAGCGGTTCGCGGGGGCGGCAGGTGGAGGGGCGCCCGGCGGTTCGCGGGGGCGGCAGGTGGAGGGGTGCCCGGCGGTTCGCGGGGGCGGCAGGTGGAGGGGTGCCCGGCGGTTCGCGGGGGCGGCAGGTGGAGGGGTGCCCGGCGGTTCGCGGGGGCGGCAGGTGGAGGGGCGCCGGGTGGTTCGCGGGGGCGGCAGGTGGAGGGGCGCCCGGGCGGTTCGCGGGGGCGGCAGGTGGAGGGGCGCCCGGGCGGTTCGCGGGGGCGGCAGGTGGAGGGGCGCCCGGGCGGTTCGCGGGGGCGGCAGGTGGAGGGGCGCCCGGGCGGTTCGCGGGGGCGGCAGGTGGAGGGGCGCCCGGGCGGTTCGCGGGGGCGGCAGGTGGAGGGGCGCCGGGTGGTTCGCGGGGGCGGCAGGTTAGGTGCGCCCGGGCGGTTCGCGGGGGGCGCAGTGGCGGGGCGGCCCGGTCGGTTCGCGGTGGGGCGGCAGGGTGGAGGGCGGTGGTTTCCGTGTGGCGTCATGTGGAGGGGCCGCCGAGTGGTTCGCGGGGGGCGGCAGGTGGAGGGTGCGCCGGTGTTCGCGGGGGAGGCAGGTGAGGGGCGCCCGGCGGTCTTCGCGGGGCGCAGGTGAAGGGTCTCCCATGGCGGTTCGCGGGGCGTCAGGGTAGGGGCGCCCGTGCGTTTTCTCCGGGGGCGGCAGGTGGAGGGCGCCCCGATCGGAGGTTCGCCGGGGCGGCAGGTGGAGGGCGCCGGCGTTTCGCTGGGGCGGCAGGTGGAGGGGCGCCCCGGGCGGTTCGCGGGCGGCAGGTGGAGGGGCGCCCGGGCGGTTCGCGGGGGCGGAAGGTGGAGGGGCGCCCGGGCGGTTCGCGGGGGCGGCAGGTGGAGGGGCGCCCCGGGGGTTCGCGGGGGCGGCAGGTGGAGGGGCGCCGGGCGGTTTGCGGGGGCGGCAGGTGGAGGGGTGCCCAGCGGTTCGCGGGAGGGCTGGGGGAGGGGCGCCCGGTTGACTCACGGAGGCAGCAGGTTTGAGCAGCTCCGTGGCCAGGACTACTTGGCACAGGCCGCCCGGCAGACCAAGGCTGGGGAAGTCTGCACATGGAGACCGAAGCCCAGCTCCTCGCTGTGCCCCCGCCAAAGGTCTCCTCACAGGCCAGGCCTAGGGTCCCAGCACGATTTACCTCTTCTCCTGGGTCCCCCTCTGTACTTCCCAGGGGTCTCCTCCAAGGGCGCCTCCTCCAGGAAGCCTTCCCTAATGCTCCTTGGACTCGAACTCACCGCTGTGCGACCGTCCTCTGCTGAGGACAGACAGCGTCCCACCCTCTTGTGCCAGGAGCACCTGGAGCCGAGCCTGGCACAGAGCGGGGACCTGGAACTCGCCCAGGGATTACCGAGCTGGGAAGGACCCTAGGAGGCAGCTGGTCAACCTTGTTCTCAAGGGGAACCTGGCCACAGAGGGCGGAAGTGCCCTGGCCAGAGTCAGCCAGGACTTGGGCCCCTCGGCCTGGGGACTCCGTCATCCCACCACAGCGCGAACATCCTTGTCGGGCGGAGGGGTGGCGCGGAAGCTGTCCGGAGGCACACGGGAGGCCCCAAGGTCATCTGGGGGTGGGGGATCCACCACCAGAACAGCCAGCGGAGGGATGTGCCCGCCGCAGGGACTGTGCCAGGCCCTCCTCGCCCTCCTCGTAGGCATCGCTGTGCTCAAAGAGCCCAGGCGCCGAGGCCTGACTGCTCTCCTTCTTCCCTTCCAGGCTAATGGAGGTTGGCAGGATGCCACTACCCCCTCATCCGTGACGTCCCCTACAGAAGGCCCTGGCAGTGTTCACTCTGACACCTCCAACTGACCTCCCAGCCCTCGCATCCCGGCTGACCCCGCGCCCAGCCGGGCGGGGCCGGAGGGAGGGCGTCTCCCACGCTGACGCGGTCAGACTGGAGGTCGAAGCAATCAGCAGACACATGCGTCTCCTTCCCTTCTCTTCCGTGGGAGCTACTTCAGCCACTCTGGACACTTCTTTATACTCTGTCCCCCTGTTTCTGGGTAGAAGCCACCCTTCCCTGCCGCCAGCGGCCAGCCTGGTGCCCGCCTCCAGCCCCACCCTCACCCTCAGCCCTTCACCCCGGCCCCGCCCTCCACCCAGCACTGGAAGATATTTTCGACAATTAGAGGAATTTACAGAGGAAAAGAACGCAGAGAATAATAAACGTGTTTGTATGTTTTCACGCTGGTGGTTTGAGGGGCCAGGCTCACCTCACCGAGCCCCTGGCACAGAGCCCCGCCTCATGCTCACCGCTCTCGCAGGGACCACCACATCCCCCCCCCCCCCCCCCCGTCCGCACGCTCCCCTCCCTCCCAGCCCCGCTGGGCCTGGGCACTGCCGTCGCCGGGCTCCTGAAGGTGCCATTTCCCGGGCTCAGCTCCACCGACCGATTCCAGGCAGGAGAGGCGGGGACAGGGTGCAGGGGGAGGAAGGCCGCTCCCCCGTCTCCTCGTCGTCCTGGGAACAGTTCCGGCTCCAGAGGCACAGACTTCGGGGCCAGAACCACCGCGGGACAGGTGTCCGTCAGGTGTGGTGGTGAATACCTCGCGGAGGAGGAGACGGTTCTCATCCTGAGCCTCAGCTAGACCTGTGCACACGCGCACACACGCACCTGTAGGCGATGCGGTCTCACACGGGCTCTGACCAACTTGGTCACCTGCCTCAGATACCTGCGTCAGTGACTGGCGTTGCGCCTCGTGAGCCCGAAAGAGAATTAGCAGCTCCGAGTGAAGGTCACGGACACAGAAGCGACACGCACCTGTGGCCACGCACACGCCAGAACAACCCCCAGGGACAGGCCGGTTCCCGGTGTCATCTTTCCTCACGCTCCAGGCAGCCGGGCACAGCACGGCGTCTGCTGTGGAGCGCTTGTGTTCTGTCCGTCCGCGCACTGGGCATGAATTGTCCAGGGTCTAGGGCACCGCGTGGGTTCTGGAGGACACAGGTGAATGAGACTTGGCTCGGGCAGTCTATCCCCCAGCTTTTTTGAGAACCTTCGCGTGTGGGGACGGGGGTGATGTTCCCAGGGAACCAGGGCAGTGACCGTCTTGCTCTGGGGGCATCGGAAGGAGGCGAGTGTGGCGTGTGTCCCGGAAAGCGATTCCCTTGTGTCCCTGAGCCGACGCCCCCCCTAGCCAACCCTGCCAGGGAGGAAGCCGGCAGCTCTGGCTGGTTGACGGCGGTGGTCAGATCTCGCGGTGCCTCATTTCTCCATCCGTACGATGGGGGTTGTTCTGCCGGGCTCCCCCAGGGCTTGTGAGAGACTGGAGGTGTCCTTCCCGCCAACCTGTAAACGTGAAGTCGGGGAGCAGGGGTCGGAGACGAGCTGGTCCAGGTGAGGCGGGGCGGCGGCTTCCCCGTGCTGACTCCCGGTCCCCGCCGGTGCCCCGCCGTGGTCGATGGCAGAGCCAGGGTCCTTGTTGCTTTTCTGGTGGCTTTGGTCTGTTGGTTGCTTAGAATAGAGGTCAGCTCCCTCACTAGCAGAGGTTGAGCCTGGTTCTCAGGCCGTGACCTCGGAAGTCCTCAGAGGCTGCGGGAAGGGGGCACCTGAGGGGCACCGGGAACCTGCCCCTGCGCTTTGCGGGGTGTGTGCCTGAGGCGTGTCTGGCCTTGGCTGTCACCTGGCGGGCTCCAGGCAGAGGTCGCGGAGGGCGCTGCGTGGCAGCCGCCAGCAATCAGACCCCGGGGCCTGTCTCCGCGCGCAGGCGTGGGATAGGGCCCCGCAGCCTGAGTGGGCCCCCCGCAGGGGCCCGGAGCTGGGAGGAAGGATCAGGTTTGGGTTGGATGGCGGCCAGGCCAGGTCAGAGAGAACAGAGACCAGCCCGTGGGTCCTGCCCGCACTGGTCACGGTCACACGCGGCGCTCTGTGCCTCCCACCTCCCCCCACACCACATACCCAGTGTGGCGCCACCGGGTCTCGGTTCAGCGGAACGCAAGGGGACAGCGCGCTGGGGTTCCCCGGTCAGCCCCCGCCCGGCCCTGCCCAGGACCTGGTCTCCAGTGGGCGTGGGCGCGGCGGTGTCCCTGGTGGCGAGGTGCCCTTGGTTCACCCACAGTAACTCCTCATGGCTCCCCCTCCCTAACTCCCCAGCGTGGGCGGCGCCCCAAGTGCTTGGCCCTGGCACCTCCAGGCTCTGCTGGCGGGTCTTCCTTGCTGGTCGCCTTTCCCCTCCCCTCCCCCCCCAAGTTGTACTTTTCTGCCCAGAAAAACCTGACTTCGATACCAAAAAAAAAAAAAGATAAAACTACAGAAACTCAAATTTAAGAAAAAACTTAAAAAAAAAAAAAAAAAACACTCCGCGACCCTCTCAGCTTTATCCGCATTTTCCATTGTTTCTTGCGACGTCTCGTTCTCCGTGGCGCTGATGCGAACATTTGATAAGGAATGTTCTTGTATATTCAGATAAAGGAAAAAAACCAAAAAAGCGGTCTGAATTGAATCGTGTTTATAAGGAAATTTCCGCAGGACCCTGGAGCACGCAGACAGGACGGGGTGCCCTCCGCCACAGCGCCCCCGTGCGGCGCCCCCGCCGCGCCCGCATTGCCATGGCCCACGCTCTTTTATTTTCCTGCATTTGTGAATTAGTTTAAGAATGCTAGACGAGTGTCCAGTTGTGCACACCCATTTCCTGTTCCACCGTGTTTAAAAGTGACTGTAATTCATTTTGTAAACTAAAAAAAGAAAAACGGGAAAAAAAAACACAAAAAAAAGTGGGGCTAGTGAGCATCATAGAGAAACAACCTAACGCGTTGTTATTATGTTTCTTAACTTTGAGACCCAGAACTGAGTTCTTTTCTTTCCTTTATTCCTGCTCTTGAAAATAGAACAACGACAAAAAAAAAATGATGTTTTTGTTTTGTGTTATTTTTGGTTTGTTTATGGGGGTGGGGGCTATTTTTTTTAATGGTCAGGATTGTGATCTTGTGTTTTTATTCCTTACTGATGTGTACAAGGTGATGTGAACAGCTTCTCTGAGTGGATGTCCCAGGGCTCACCTGCATTTGGGGTGAGTGACACTCCCAACGGGGTCTCCTGAGGCCGTTTACAAAGTCAAGGCGCAGGCCGGGGTCCTGTTCCCCTGTGGGCAGAGGCGTGCGCCTCGTGGGTGGTGAGTGTCCCCACACGGTGCTGCTTCTCTCTCATCCCGACTGATAGCGGCACCCTGGTGCCGGGCACGGGCACCGGGATGGGCTGGGAGTCCTGGTTTGGGGCGACGCCTTGGTGCAAAGCCGGGCCCGCTGGGTGTTTGAGCAGCTGTGCAAAGCAAATTCGTGGGGCGGGCCTCCCCCGGAATGGTTTCGTTAGTTCCAGGAGGAAAGAGGGCAGCGTGGGCAGGAAGACACGCTCTTCTAAATACCTTCCATTTAGCAGAGGACTGAGTGTCCCACAGGCAGCCGGCAGCTCGGGAGAAACAGAATCGAGGGCCGGGCAGCCCCCCTTGCCGGACGGCTGCCGCCCAAATGGCCTTTGCGTCACAGCCCGATGACAAGCTTTTCACATCACCTTTATGGCTTCGATCCCTAGCTCAAAGCTTTCTGGAACCTTATTTTTTGTAACCTTTTATTTTTCTTTCTTTTTGTTAAAATAAATGAAACCTTCACTGTTTCTCCCCTCTTCTCGCTTATTCCTCCTTCCCTCTCCCTGGGCGTCCTCAGTTATTTTGAAGTGTTTTCCTCTGGTTGTTGGTCCCCCCCCCCCCCGCGCCCGCCCCGTCCTCATTACTCGGAGTGTGACCCCGCCACGCTCTGCCCCGTTTCGGTTCGGACGGTTCCGCTTTTCCGCTTCTGTGAGAACACCGGCTCCTTCCTTTTGATTCCCACTGAGGTTTTGTGTTCTCTGACGATACTAACACGGTGTAGATTTCACAGTCTCCTAATTTGTACTGGTAATGCATATTCCAAATAAATAGTTTCTTTTGTTGCAAAAAAGTATACTTGTATGTTGCGTACATTTTGTCTCTTACATGCTGGCCTCCTCTTCCCCCGAACGAGGGCCGGGTCCCTGTGGGTTGTGGGTCTAAACTGTCACCCTAACCATTTTAAAGTCTGGGTGCAGTGCGGTGGGGTGAATGAGCTCACCCGGGAAGGAAGGAGGGAGGGAGGGAGGGAGGGAGGGAGGGAGGGAGGGAGGGAGGGAGGGGAGGGAGGGAGGGAGGGAGGGAGGGGAGGGAGGAAGGAAGGAAGGAAGGAAGGAAGGAAGGAAGGAAGGAAGGAAGGAAGGAAGGTCTTTTACGGGGAATATTAGGAGTGCTGCAGGAGGGCAGAGCACCCCATCCTCTGCTGGTCTGTCAGGCCGCCCCCACAAGCACCAGCTGGCAGTCGGGGAGCTCTCCACAACCAGTCCTAAGCCTGTGCGTCGGCTCTTGGCCGTGGTTCTGTTCCTCTTAGTCTGTGATTGGGTCACAGGAAAACTGTGGGACCCAAGAGATGTTTCCAGAGAAGGGACCCAGGTTAGAAGCACCCAGCTCCGAGGTAGGCGGGTGTTCGGGCACCAGGCCTGCACACCTCCCTGTGCGAACACACCTCCCGCAGTGCCTGCACTCGCTGAGCTGCCGGGGTCGGGGTCAGGGTCTGTAAGGATGTCGCTGTTTCTGACTGAACAGCTCAGCCCTCAGCGCCACGATCCCACCCAGGCAGTGGGGTGGAGCTTCCCGGGGCGTCACCTGCATTGTTCCCTCATTTTCCTGTGGGGCCCAGTGAGGCAGGTGTGTACGGAGTGCACTGGTCACTCAACCTCTCGGTGACCATTGATTCTAAGCCACAGAAAACATCATGGAGAGTCGATGGGGAGCAAGTTAGCGTTTTTATTAAGGGCCAGGCCGAGGGCTCCACGGCCTCGAAGGTCAAAGTTTATCTGCGAATGTTGGTGTGGAGAACATCGCCAGGGTCAGAGCAGAGGCCTTGCGTCCCCCCTTCAAGTTGAAGCATTGGGGCACCTGGGCTGGGGGTTGCAGGGGAGGGGTCCTGTGTGCAGGCGGCTTTAGGCCGCTTTCTTCCTCCGCTGCCGGGACATCTGGGTCCTAACTCACCACCAAGCTTATTACTTAGAGTGATACTAAAAGTGTTACAGCAAATAGACCAAAAGGTACAATGTATCAAATGCAGATCAAGCCTCAAGTAATAGCCTGAGACAAACAGTGCGGGTCACCGAGCCTCGTCTCCATGTGGTGATTCAGGAATCCAGCTCCTTCCACGCTGTGGTTCCCTGCCCCCAGGAAGGTGCCATCCTCCCCATA